CTACTGTGTCCCCTCAGGTAGCTGCGTCTGCGTCTGCGTTTGCGTCAGGTCAGCTAGCGGCCCCCTGCTTGTGTCGCGCTTTGTCGCACCAGACCCTCCTTTGGCACCACCGCCTTGGTCACCCCTCGGTGCAGCGCCTTCGTAGCATGCACCGCCGTTTCCTTGTTTCTGGACTTCCAGAGACTCTGCCTCCTCTACCACCCTCGCCTGCTCCTCCCTGTCTTCCCTGTGTCGAGGGGCGGCGGCGCGCCGCTCCTCACTCCTCGTTCCCTCCCACAGAGGTTCCCCTGCAGACTCTCCACCTGGACGTGTGGGGCCCAGCCCGCGTCCGTGGACAGGGCCACAAGCGGTACTTCCTGCTGGTCGTCGACGACTACACGCGTTACACCACGGTCTTCCCCTTGCGCAGCAAGGGGGAGGTCCTTGATGTTTTGATCCCCTGGATCCGCGCTGTTCGTCTCCAGCTCCGCGAGCTGTTCCAGTCGGACTTTCCTGTCCTGCGCCTGCACTCTGATAGAGGTCGTGAGTTCTCCTCAGACCTCTTGGCAGCCTACTGTGCGGAGCACGGCATCCGCCAGACGTTCACGCTTCCGGCCTCTCCGCAGCAGAATGGGGTTGCTGAGCGCCGCATTGGCTTAGTCATGGAGGTCGCTCGTACCTCCATGATCCATACGGCTGCCCCCCATTTTCTGTGGCCGTTTGCGGTCCGGTACGCCGCGCATCAGCTCAACCTCTGGCCCCGTGTCTCCTTGCCGGAGACCTCGCCCACACTGCTGTGGACGGGGAAGGTTGGCGATGCGTCGCGTTTCCGGATCTGGGGTGCTCGTGCCTTTGTCCGCGATACCACCGCGGACAAGCTCTCCGCCCGCGCTGTTCCCTGTGTCTTCCTTGGCTTTGTCCCTGACGCGCCTGGTTGGCAGTTTTACCACCCCACCTCGCGCCGTCTCTTCCCCTCTCAGGACGTCACGTTCGACGAGTCGGTTCCCTTTTACCGTCTCTTCCCCTACCGCACTGCCCCTCTCCCCCCCCCGCCGCTCTTCCTCGCTCCAGGTGCTCCCCAGGTAGACCCCCTCCCCGCTCCCGGTCCTGCTCCTTCAGGTGTGTCTCAGGTAGACCCTCCTCCCTTGACTGCGCCGGTTGAGGTCACTGGTGACTCGGGTCCTGCTGAGGGTGGTCCTGCTCGGGGTGCTGCTTCTGGGGGTGCGGAGCCTGGAGGTGCGGAGCCTGGGGGTGCGGAGACTGGAGGTGCTGAGCCTAGGTGTGAGGAGTCTGGGGGTGCTGAGCCTGGGGGCGCTGAGGTGTCTGGTGAGCAGTCTCCCTGGAGCGGCCGTCTCCGTAGTCGCTCCGCTGGTGCCTCGCCGCTGCACTCTCGTCGTCGGCTCCCTCTCTCCCCACAGCAGCTGCTTGAGTGGTACGCTGGCCGTCAGGGTCGCGCTGCTGGAGCTAGGGGCCCTGCTGCGGGAGGCGCTGGAGCTGGTGACTCTGCCACTGGAGATGTTTCTGCTGGGGGTTCTGGAGCTGCTGAGGGTGCTGGGGCTGGAGGTTCTGGAGCTGCTGGAGGTGCTGGCGCTGGTGGCGCTGGAGCTGGAGGTTCTGGAGCTGCTGAGGGTGCTGGCGCTGGAGGTTCTGGAGCTGCTGGAGGTACTGGCGCTGGTGGCGCTGGAGCTGGAGGTTCTGGAGCTGCTGAGGGTGCTGGCGCTGGAGGTTCTGGAGCTGCTGCGGGTGCTGGCGCTGAGGGTTCTGAGTCTGCTGTTGCGCGGTTTCCTTGGAGTAGCCGCCTTCGTCCGCGTGTGCCTCTCACCTCGCAGCAGCTGCACGACTGGTACGGTCGGCGTCAGGGTCGCGCTTCTGGAGCTCGGGGCTCTGCCGCTGGAGGTACTTCTGCTGACGTCACTGGAGCTGGGAGTGGTGCTGGTCCCGGAGGTGCTCGTACTGGAGGTACTGGAGCTGCTGGGGCTGGAGGTGCTGAGCCTGAGGGTGCTGCTGCTGGAGGCACTGAGGCTGGAGACCCTGTGACTGGAGGTGCCGGTTCTGGGGGTGCTGCTATTGGTGGAGCTGGTCCTGGAGGAGCTGGCGCTGAGGGTTCTGGAGCTGCTGGAGGTGCTGGAGCTGCTGGGGGTACTGGAGCTGCTGGTACTGGTGTCACTGCACAGCCGCGCCTGTTCTTTGCTCCACCGTCTCCGTCGTCTCAGCCACCGCCTGACTCTGTGCTTCGCCAGGTTCTTAGTCTCCCTTTGTCTACTGGTCTTCCGTTACAGCCTGGCTCACCGCTGCCTGCTCCTTCTCCTTACACTGAGCAGCTAGAGGGTCTTACTGAGCGTCGTGAGCCTGCGTCGCGTCCTGTCTCGCTTGTCTGTTCTGGTCGTTCCGGTCGTCGTGTTCCTCGTCCGCGTCTGCCGGCTGTCCCCGACACCCGCCTCGTAGTCTGTCGTCCTTCCTCTCCTCCGCAGCGTGTTCCTCTGCCGTCTCCTCCTGCGTCTTCTCTGCCTGTCGTTGCGGACCCCGAGTCTGACCGGTTTCGTGCTGAGCACCCTACTGTCACGCGTCTGCTAGCCACTGTTGTCACTGACCCGTCGTTTGAGTCTGCTGCTACGTCTGCCTTAGTTGCTGAGCTTGTTGACTTTGCTGCTGCCTGTCGTCTAGACTACGCCGCTAGTCTTGTTGCTGAGTCTGAGTCTGTCTGTCCTCCGTCCGTCGGGGGTGAGTGTGCTCTTGGCACGGACGTCCTTGAGGACAGGCAGGAGGACCTTGAGTGTCTTGCAGCCGCTGCGCCTCATCTCTTGTCCATGCTGCTTGCCCCTGAGGGAGACCCGGATGCTCCAGACATCCCGACCCCGCGCTCTTACGCTGAGGCGATCGCGGGTGAGTACTCCTCTCAGTGGCAGACAGCCATGGACGCAGAGATGGCATCCTGGAAGTCCACAGGCACCTAAGTCGACGAGGTTCCCCCACCTGGGGCGAACATCGTCAGTGGCATGTGGATTTTCAGGGTGAAGCGGCCGCCGGGTTCTCCGCCTGTCTTCAAGGCGCGTTACGTTGCACGAGGTTTCAGTCAGCGAGAGGGAGTTGACTTCTTCCAGACCTTCTCCCCCACCCCGAAGATGACCACTCTTCGGGTGCTGCTGCACGTTTCCGCGCAGCGTGACTACGAGCTTCACTCTCTTGACTTCAGCACAGCCTTCTTACAGGGCAGCCTGCACGAGGAGATCTGGCTGCGCCGCCCACCTGGCTTCACTGGGTCGTTCCCTCCTGGTACCCAGTGGAGCCTCAGGCGGCCGGTCTACGGTCTCCGCCAGGCGCCACGTGAGTGGCACGACACACTGAGGACGACACTTGCGGCTCTTGGGTTTGCTCCGTCGACTGCTGACCCGTCGCTGTTTCTGCGCACTAACGATTCGCTACCGCCGTTCTACATCCTCGTGTACGTCGACGACTTGGTCTTTGCCACTGCTGACACTGAGGCTCTCGCCCTGGTGAAGTCGGAGCTGCAGAAGAGACACACGTGCACAGACCTGGGTGAGCTGACAAGCAATCTTGGCTTGCAGATCACCCGGGACAGAGCACGCCGCACCATCACCCTGACTCAGTCACACATGGTGCAGCAGGTCCTTCAGCGCTTCGGTTTCACCTGGTCCTCGGCACAGGTCACTCCTCTGGCTACAGGTCACTCGCTCTCAGCTCCACCTTCGGACGAGTCCGTAGAGCCGAGTGGTCCTTACCCAGAGCTAGTTGGCTGCCTCATGTACCTGATGACCTGCACTCGTCCTGACCTCGCGTACCCTCTTGGCCTTTTGGCTCGCTACGTGGCTCCTGGTCGGCACCGAAAGGTACACATGGATGCTGCTAAGAGGGTACTGCGCTACTTGTGCAGTACATCGGGCATGGGGCTCGTGCTTGGAGGACGGGGCGACGTTGTCCTCACTGGTCACTCGGACGCTTCTTGGGTTGACGACCAGGCTACGCAGCGGTCGTCACAGGGTTACACCTTCAGCCTTGGCTCTGGTTCAGTTTCTTGGCGTTCTACACGCTCGTCTTAAGTTCTCAGCTCCAGTTGTGAGGCTGAGATCTACGCCACAGCCATGGCTGCACAGGAGTTACGCTGGCTCACCTACCTGCTGACCGACCTGGGAGAGCGGCCTCGTTCTCCTCCAGTGCTGTACGTCGACAACAAGGCAGCCATTGCCTTGTGTCAGGAGCACAGACTGGAGCACAGAACGAAGCACATCGCTCTGCGTTACTTCCTGGCTCGAGAGTTGCAGCAGCGGGGTCAGCTTCGTCTTGCTCACGTGGCCACTCGGGCCAACACTGCTGATATATTCACCAAGGCACTTCCGTCTGGTGATCATCAGCGCTTTTGTACTTTGTTGGGCCTTGTGCCTACGTTTCCACACTTGCTGTAGATTCTGCTTGTACTGTGATCTATACATATATACCTGCATGCTTGCTCTTGTTAGGTAGTGATCACTCTGCTATTGCTGCATATACATATCTGCATGTGAACTGGCCTTGTGGCCTCTTGCTTGTGCTTAGAGTGTGTGGTGACTTTGTGATCCACCCTGAGCTGTGTTTTGTTTCTTCTCTTGACTGGTCTTGTGACCTTTGCTTGCTCTGGCTATCCCCCATTTTGCCCCCTCAACTCCCCTGCCCCCCGTACACCCCACTCCCGTCCAACCGCCCCCACCCTCCCCCGGCTGCCCGTTTCCGCTCTCCACCCCCGCGACCGTGTGCGGCTTCCAACCGCCCGACGGTGGTGCGCACGGGGCGTTTCTTCGCGCGGGCAAGCCTCCCCGGGGGCCCCCCACCCCGCTGACTCGTTATTCGGGCAAAAAAACGGAAATAAAAAAGTCAGACGCGCTAAAATCGTCCTTTCTTTTTTCCCGCTTGCCCCTCCCCGGCACGTGCCGAGCAAGGGGCATAAATGGGTACAACACGAGGACTTCCCGGGAGGTCACCCAGCCCAGTACTGCTCTCGCCCACCGGCGCTTAGCTTCGGAGTTCTGATGGGATCCGGCGTCATAGCCGAGGTATGATCGTACCACGACAATCCCGTGCCCCGACCGGTACACACCCCTTGCCCGGGTCCCCCCTTCATAGTCACACCCCCTGCCCCCTCATGCCATCCGCTCCCCCCGCCCCTACCCTCTGCGTGCCCGCTCCCTCGCCGCCTCTTTTGACCCTCCCTGCCCCCCTCGCCGTTACCCACCGCTCGCCATTCGCTCCTCCCCGCCCGTGCCCTCCCCTCGTTTACCTTCGCCTCCCCCCTCCCCTCCTCTGCTGCACGCCTCTTCCTTCCCCTCGCTAACCCACTCCACTCCCTGCCCCTCCCCAATCCGCACCCTGCCCCTCGTTTCTCGCCCCCCTATGCTTGGTTTCTCCCCTCCCTGCCCCTCGCCGCCTTTCTCCGCTCCCCACCTCCCCCCTCTCCCTGCCCCCCCACTCTCCTCCACTTGCCCTTGGCTTCCCACCTCCCTGCCCCACCTTTCCCCCCTCCGTGTGCTCAGCTTCTCCCCTCCCTGCCTCTCCCTCCTCCCCGCCCTGCCCCTCATTTTCCGCCCCCCCACGCCCGGTTTCTCCCCTCCCTGCACCTCCCTTTCTTTCTCCGTGCCTCTCCTTTGCTCCCTCCCTGCCCCCGCCTGCCCATGCCCCTGTCTTTGGTTTCTCCCCTCCCTGCCCCACGTTTCTTCCCTCCCTGAGATCACCTTGTACCCCCTCTGCCCCTCCCTTGTTCTCCCCGCACCCATTGCTTCTCCCCTCCCTGCCCTTGATTTCCCGCACCCCTGCCCTTGTTTCCTACCATCCATGCCCCTCGTTTCCCCTCTTTGTACGTTCACCCTCTTCCCTCCCTGCCCCTCCCTTCCTCCCCCCCTGCCCTTTGCTTTCCCCTCGTTACGCTCCCTTCTCCCCATCCCTGCTGCCCTCTTACCACCATCAGCCCGTCCCCACCACCAGCCCCCCTCCCACCCTTCTCCCCCCCCCCTCTCCCTCTCTCTCTCTCTCTCTCTATCTCTCTCTCTCTCTCTCTCTCTCTCTCTTTCTCTCGCACACACACACACACACACACTCCCCTCCCCCACCCCCCACCCACATCCTCCCGTTCTGCCCCTCCCTGCCCCTGTTCCACCCCCTCGCACGCCCCTCACCTCACACCTCCGTTCAACTGGATTCCCCCCCTCTGGTGCATCCCTTGCATCGCTCGCCCCTCTGCTCACCCTCTGCCCGCCCCTTTTCCTTGCCCTCAGCTGGCCCAGCCCCTGCCCGTTGCTGCCCCTCCCCTTGCCCCCTCAACTCCCCTGCCCCCCGTACACCCCACTCCCGTCCAACCGCCCCCACCCTCCCCCGGCTGCCCGTTTCCGCTCTCCACCCCCGCGACCGTGTGCGGCTTCCAACCGCCCAACGGTGGTGCGCACGGGGCGTTTCTTCGCGCGGGCAAGCCTCCCCGGGGGCCCTCCACCCCGCTGACTCGTTGTTCGGGGGCAAAAAAAACGGAAATAAAAAAGTCGGACGCGCTAAAATCGTCCTTTCTTTTTCCCGCTTGCCCCTCCCCGGCACGTGCCGAGCAAGGGGCATAAATGGGTACAACACGAGGACTTCCCGGGAGGTCACCCAGCCCAGTACTGCTCTCGCCCACCGGCGCTTAGCTTCGGAGTTCTGATGGGATCCGGCGTAGTAGCCGAGGTATGATCGTACCACGACAATCCCGTGCCCCGACCGGTACACACCCCTTGCCCGGGTCCCCCCTTCATAGTCACACCCCCTGCCCCCTCATGCCATCCGCTCCCCCCGCCCCTACCCTCCGCGTGCCCGCTCCCTCGCCGCCTCTTTTGACCCTCCCTGCCCCCCTCGCCGTTACCCACCGCTCGCCATTCGCTCCTCCCCGCCCGTGCCCTCCCCTCGTTTACCTTCGCCTCCCCCCTCCCCTCCTCTGCTGCACGCCTCTTCCTTCCCCTCGCTAACCCACTCCACTCCCTGCCCCTCCTCAATCCGCACCCTGCCCCTCGTTTCTCGCCCCCCTACGCTTGGTTTCTCCCCTCCCTGCCCCTCGCCGCCTTTCTCCGCTCCCCACCTCCCCCCTCTCCCTGCCCCCCCACTCTCCTCCACTTGCCCTTGGCTTCCCACCTCCCTGCCCCACCTTTCCCCCCTCCGTGTGCTCAGCTTCTCCCCTCCCTGCCTCTCCCTCCTCCCCGCCCTGCCCCTCATTTTCCGCCCCCCCACGCCCGGTTTCTCCCCTCCCTGCACCTCCCTTTCTTTCTCCGTGCCTCTCCTTTGCTCCCTCCCTGCCCCCGCCTGCCCATGCCCCTGTCTTTGGTTTCTCCCCTCCCTGCCCCACGTTTCTTCCCTCCCTGAGATCACCTTGTACCCCCTCTGCCCCTCCCTTGTTCTCCCCGCACCCATTGCTTCTCCCCTCCCTGCCCTTGATTTCCCGCACCCCTGCCCTTGTTTCCTACCATCCATGCCCCTCGTTTCCCCTCTTTGTACGTTCACCCTCTTCCCTCCCTGCCCCTCCCTTCCTCCCCCCCTGCCCTTTGCTTTCCCCTCGTTACGCTCCCTTCTCCCCATCCCTGCTGCCCTCTTACCACCATCAGCCCGTCCCCACCACCAGCCCCCCTCCCACCCTTCTCCCCCCCCCCTCTCCCTCTCTCTCTCTCTCTCTCTATCTCTCTCTCTCTCTCTCTCTCTCTCTCTTTCTCTCGCACACACACACACACACACACTCCCCTCCCCCACCCCCCACCCACATCCTCCCGTTCTGCCCCTCCCTGCCCCTGTTCCACCCCCTCGCACGCCCCTCACCTCACACCTCCGTTCAACTGGATTCCCCCCCTCTGGTGCATCCCTTGCATCGCTCGCCCCTCTGCTCACCCTCTGCCCGCCCCTTTTCCTTGCCCTCAGCTGGCCCAGCCCCTGCCCGTTGCTGCCCCTCCCCTTGCCCCCTCAACTCCCCTGCCCCCCGTACACCCCACTCCCGTCCAACCGCCCCCACCCTCCCCCGGCTGCCCGTTTCCGCTCTCCACCCCCGCGACCGTGTGCGGCTTCCAACCGCCCAACGGTGGTGCGCACGGGGCGTTTCTTCGCGCGGGCAAGCCTCCCCGGGGGCCCTCCACCCCGCTGACTCGTTGTTCGGGGCAAAAAAAACGGAAATAAAAAAGTCGGACGCGCTAAAATCGTCCTTTCTTTTTCCCGCTTGCCCCTCCCCGGCACGTGCCGAGCAAGGGGCATAAATGGGTACAACACGAGGACTTCCCGGGAGGTCACCCAGCCCAGTACTGCTCTCGCCCACCGGCGCTTAGCTTCGGAGTTCTGATGGGATCCGGCGTAGTAGCCGAGGTATGATCGTACCACGACAATCCCGTGCCCCGACCGGTACACACCCCTTGCCCGGGTCCCCCCTTCATAGTCACACCCCCTGCCCCCTCATGCCATCCGCTCCCCCCGCCCCTACCCTCCGCGTGCCCGCTCCCTCGCCGCCTCTTTTGACCCTCCCTGCCCCCCTCGCCGTTACCCACCGCTCGCCATTCGCTCCTCCCCGCCCGTGCCCTCCCCTCGTTTACCTTCGCCTCCCCCCTCCCCTCCTCTGCTGCACGCCTCTTCCTTCCCCTCGCTAACCCACTCCACTCCCTGCCCCTCCTCAATCCGCACCCTGCCCCTCGTTTCTCGCCCCCCTACGCTTGGTTTCTCCCCTCCCTGCCCCTCGCCGCCTTTCTCCGCTCCCCACCTCCCCCCTCTCCCTGCCCCCCCACTCTCCTCCACTTGCCCTTGGCTTCCCACCTCCCTGCCCCACCTTTCCCCCCTCCGTGTGCTCAGCTTCTCCCCTCCCTGCCTCTCCCTCCTCCCCGCCCTGCCCCTCATTTTCCGCCCCCCCACGCCCGGTTTCTCCCCTCCCTGCACCTCCCTTTCTTTCTCCGTGCCTCTCCTTTGCTCCCTCCCTGCCCCCGCCTGCCCATGCCCCTGTCTTTGGTTTCTCCCCTCCCTGCCCCACGTTTCTTCCCTCCCTGAGATCACCTTGTACCCCCTCTGCCCCTCCCTTGTTCTCCCCGCACCCATTGCTTCTCCCCTCCCTGCCCTTGATTTCCCGCACCCCTGCCCTTGTTTCCTACCATCCATGCCCCTCGTTTCCCCTCTTTGTACGTTCACCCTCTTCCCTCCCTGCCCCTCCCTTCCTCCCCCCCTGCCCTTTGCTTTCCCCTCGTTACGCTCCCTTCTCCCCATCCCTGCTGCCCTCTTACCACCATCAGCCCGTCCCCACCACCAGCCCCCCTCCCACCCTTCTCCCCCCCCCCTCTCCCTCTCTCTCTCTCTCTCTCTATCTCTCTCTCTCTCTCTCTCTCTCTCTCTTTCTCTCGCACACACACACACACACACACTCCCCTCCCCCACCCCCCACCCACATCCTCCCGTTCTGCCCCTCCCTGCCCCTGTTCCACCCCCTCGCACGCCCCTCACCTCTCACCTCCGTTCAACTGGATTCCCCCCCTCTGGTGCATCCCTTGCATCGCTCGCCCCTCTGCTCACCCTCTGCCCGCCCCTTTTCCTTGCCCTCAGCTGGCCCAGCCCCTGCCCGTTGCTGCCCCTCCCCTTGCCCCCTCAACTCCCCTGCCCCCGTACACCCCACTCCCGTCCAACCGCCCCCACCCTCCCCCGGCTGCCCGTTTCCGCTCTCCACCCCCGCGACCGTGTGCGGCTTCCAACCGCCCAACGGTGGTGCGCACGGGGCGTTTCTTCGCGCGGGCAAGCCTCCCCGGGGGCCCTCCACCCCGCTGACTCGTTGTTCGGGCAAAAAAAACGGAAATAAAAAAGTCGGACGCGCTAAAATCGTCCTTTCTTTTTCCCGCTTGCCCCTCCCCGGCACGTGCCGAGCAAGGGGCATAAATGGGTACAACACGAGGACTTCCCGGGAGGTCACCCAGCCCAGTACTGCTCTCGCCCACCGGCGCTTAGCTTCGGAGTTCTGATGGGATCCGGCGTAGTAGCCGAGGTATGATCGTACCACGACAATCCCGTGCCCCGACCGGTACACACCCCTTGCCCGGGTCCCCCCTTCATAGTCACACCCCCTGCCCCCTCATGCCATCCGCTCCCCCCGCCCCTACCCTCCGCGTGCCCGCTCCCTCGCCGCCTCTTTTGACCCTCCCTGCCCCCCTCGCCGTTACCCACCGCTCGCCATTCGCTCCTCCCCGCCCGTGCCCTCCCCTCGTTTACCTTCGCCTCCCCCCTCCCCTCCTCTGCTGCACGCCTCTTCCTTCCCCTCGCTAACCCACTCCACTCCCTGCCCCTCCTCAATCCGCACCCTGCCCCTCGTTTCTCGCCCCCCTACGCTTGGTTTCTCCCCTCCCTGCCCCTCGCCGCCTTTCTCCGCTCCCCACCTCCCCCCTCTCCCTGCCCCCCCACTCTCCTCCACTTGCCCTTGGCTTCCCACCTCCCTGCCCCACCTTTCCCCCCTCCGTGTGCTCAGCTTCTCCCCTCCCTGCCTCTCCCTCCTCCCCGCCCTGCCCCTCATTTTCCGCCCCCCCACGCCCGGTTTCTCCCCTCCCTGCACCTCCCTTTCTTTCTCCGTGCCTCTCCTTTGCTCCCTCCCTGCCCCCGCCTGCCCATGCCCCTGTCTTTGGTTTCTCCCCTCCCTGCCCCACGTTTCTTCCCTCCCTGAGATCACCTTGTACCCCCTCTGCCCCTCCCTTGTTCTCCCCGCACCCATTGCTTCTCCCCTCCCTGCCCTTGATTTCCCGCACCCCTGCCCTTGTTTCCTACCATCCATGCCCCTCGTTTCCCCTCTTTGTACGTTCACCCTCTTCCCTCCCTGCCCCTCCCTTCCTCCCCCCCTGCCCTTTGCTTTCCCCTCGTTACGCTCCCTTCTCCCCATCCCTGCTGCCCTCTTACCACCATCAGCCCGTCCCCACCACCAGCCCCCCTCCCACCCTTCTCCCCCCCCCCCTCTCCCTCTCTCTCTCTCTCTCTCTCTCTCTTTCTCTCGCACACACACACACACACACACTCCCCTCCCCCACCCCCCACCCACATCCTCCCGTTCTGCCCCTCCCTGCCCCTGTTCCACCCCCTCGCACGCCCCTCACCTCTCACCTCCGTTCAACTGGATTCCCCCCCTCTGGTGCATCCCTTGCATCGCTCGCCCCTCTGCTCACCCTCTGCCCGCCCCTTTTCCTTGCCCTCAGCTGGCCCAGCCCCTGCCCGTTGCTGCCCCTCCCCTTGCCCCCTCAACTCCCCTGCCCCCCGTACACCCCACTCCCGTCCAACCGCCCCCACCCTCCCCCGGCTGCCCGTTTCCGCTCTCCACCCCCGCGACCGTGTGCGGCTTCCAACCGCCCAACGGTGGTGCGCACGGGGCGTTTCTTCGCGCGGGCAAGCCTCCCCGGGGGCCCCCCACCCCGCTGACTCGTTGTTCGGGCAAAAAAACGGAAATAAAAAAGTCGGACGCGCTAAAATCGTCCTTTCTTTTTCCCGCTTGCCCCTCCCCGGCACGTGCCGAGCAAGGGGCATAAATGGGTACAACACGAGGACTTCCCGGGAGGTCACCCAGCCCAGTACTGCTCTCGCCCACCGGCGCTTAGCTTCGGAGTTCTGATGGGATCCGGCGTAGTAGCCGAGGTATGATCGTACCACGACAATCCCGTGCCCCGACCGGTACACACCCCTTGCCCGGGTCCCCCCTTCATAGTCACACCCCCTGCCCCCTCATGCCATCCGCTCCCCCCGCCCCTACCCTCCGCGTGCCCGCTCCCTCGCCGCCTCTTTTGACCCTCCCTGCCCCCCTCGCCGTTACCCACCGCTCGCCATTCGCTCCTCCCCGCCCGTGCCCTCCCCTCGTTTACCTTCGCCTCCCCCCTCCCCTCCTCTGCTGCACGCCTCTTCCTTCCCCTCGCTAACCCACTCCACTCCCTGCCCCTCCTCAATCCGCACCCTGCCCCTCGTTTCTCGCCCCCCTATGCTTGGTTTCTCCCCCCCTGCCCTTTGCTTTCCCCTCGTTACGCTCCCTTCTCCCCATCCCTGCTGCCCTCTTACCACCATCAGCCCGTCCCCACCACCAGCCCCCCTCCCACCCTTCTCCCCCCCCCCTCTCCCTCTCTCTCTCTCTCTCTCTATCTCTCTCACTCTCTCTCTCTCTCTCTCTCTTTCTCTCGCACACACACACACACACACACTCCCCTCCCCCACCCCCCACCCACATCCTCCCGTTCTGCCCCTCCCTGCCCCTGTTCCACCCCCTCGCACGCCCCTCACCTCTCACCTCCGTTCAACTGGATTCCCCCCCTCTGGTGCATCCCTTGCATCGCTCGCCCCTCTGCTCACCCTCTGCCCGCCCCTTTTCCTTGCCCTCAGCTGGCCCAGCCCCTGCCCGTTGCTGCCCCTCCCCTTGCCCCCTCAACTCCCCTGCCCCCCGTACACCCCACTCCCGTCCAACCGCCCCCACCCTCCCCCGGCTGCCCGTTTCCGCTCTCCACCCCCGCGACCGTGTGCGGCTTCCAACCGCCCAACGGTGGTGCGCACGGGGCGTTTCTTCGCGCGGGCAAGCCTCCCCGGGGGCCCCCCACCCCGCTGACTCGTTGTTCGGGCAAAAAAAACGGAAATAAAAAAGTCGGACGCGCTAAAATCGTCCTTTGTTTTTCCCGCTTGCCCCTCCCCGGCACGTGCCGAGCAAGGGGCATAAATGGGTACAACACGAGGACTTCCCGGGAGGTCACCCAGCCCAGTACTGCTCTCGCCCACCGGCGCTTAGCTTCGGAGTTCTGATGGGATCCGGCGTAGTAGCCGAGGTATGATCGTACCACGACAATCCCGTGCCCCGACCGGTACACACCCCTTGCCCGGGTCCCCCCTTCATAGTCACACCCCCTGCCCCCTCATGCCATCCGCTCCCCCCGCCCCTACCCTCCGCGTGCCCGCTCCCTCGCCGCCTCTTTTGACCCTCCCTGCCCCCCTCGCCGTTACCCACCGCTCGCCATTCGCTCCTCCCCGCCCGTGCCCTCCCCTCGTTTACCTTCGCCTCCCCCCTCCCCTCCTCTGCTGCACGCCTCTTCCTTCCCCTCGCTAACCCACTCCACTCCCTGCCCCTCCTCAATCCGCACCCTGCCCCTCGTTTCTCGCCCCCCTACGCTTGGTTTCTCCCCTCCCTGCCCCTCGCCGCCTTTCTCCGCTCCCCACCTCCCCCCTCTCCCTGCCCCCCCACTCTCCTCCACTTGCCCTTGGCTTCCCACCTCCCTGCCCCACCTTTCCCCCCTCCGTGTGCTCAGCTTCTCCCCTCCCTGCCTCTCCCTCCTCCCCGCCCTGCCCCTCATTTTCCGCCCCCCCACGCCCGGTTTCTCCCCTCCCTGCACCTCCCTTTCTTTCTCCGTGCCTCTCCTTTGCTCCCTCCCTGCCCCCGCCTGCCCATGCCCCTGTCTTTGGTTTCTCCCCTCCCTGCCCCACGTTTCTTCCCTCCCTGAGATCACCTTGTACCCCCTCTGCCCCTCCCTTGTTCTCCCCGCACCCATTGCTTCTCCCCTCCCTGCCCTTGATTTCCCGCACCCCTGCCCTTGTTTCCTACCATCCATGCCCCTCGTTTCCCCTCTTTGTACGTTCACCCTCTTCCCTCCCTGCCCCTCCCTTCCTCCCCCCCTGCCCTTTGCTTTCCCCTCGTTACGCTCCCTTCTCCCCATCCCTGCTGCCCTCTTACCACCATCAGCCCGTCCCCACCACCAGCCCCCCTCCCACCCTTCTCCCCCCCCCCCTCTCCCTCTCTCTCTCCTCTCTCTCTCTCTCTTTCTCTCGCACACACACACACACACACACTCCCCTCCCCCACCCCCCACCCACATCCTCCCGTTCTGCCCCTCCCTGCCCCTGTTCCACCCCCTCGCACGCCCCTCACCTCTCACCTCCGTTCAACTGGATTCCCCCCCTCTGGTGCATCCCTTGCATCGCTCGCCCCTCTGCTCACCCTCTGCCCGCCCCTTTTCCTTGCCCTCAGCTGGCCCAGCCCCTGCCCGTTGCTGCCCCTCCCCTTGCCCCCTCAACTCCCCTGCCCCCCGTACACCCCACTCCCGTCCAACCGCCCCCACCCTCCCCCGGCTGCCCGTTTCCGCTCTCCACCCCCGCGACCGTGTGCGGCTTCCAACCGCCCAACGGTGGTGCGCACGGGGCGTTTCTTCGCGCGGGCAAGCCTCCCCGGGGGCCCCCCACCCCGCTGACTCGTTGTTCGGAGCAAAAAAAACGGAAATAAAAAAGTCGGACGCGCTAAAATCGTCCTTTGTTTTTCCCGCTTGCCCCTCCCCGGCACGTGCCGAGCAAGGGGCATAAATGGGTACAACACGAGGACTTCCCGGGAGGTCACCCAGCCCAGTACTGCTCTCGCCCACCGGCGCTTAGCTTCGGAGTTCTGATGGGATCCGGCGTAGTAGCCGAGGTATGATCGTACCACGACAATCCCGTGCCCCGACCGGTACACACCCCTTGCCCGGGTCCCCCCTTCATAGTCACACCCCCTGCCCCCTCATGCCATCCGCTCCCCCCGCCCCTACCCTCCGCGTGCCCGCTCCCTCGCCGCCTCTTTTGACCCTCCCTGCCCCCCTCGCCGTTACCCACCGCTCGCCATTCGCTCCTCCCCGCCCGTGCCCTCCCCTCGTTTACCTTCGCCTCCCCCCTCCCCTCCTCTGCTGCACGCCTCTTCCTTCCCCTCGCTAACCCACTCCACTCCCTGCCCCTCCTCAATCCGCACCCTGCCCCTCGTTTCTCGCCCCCCTACGCTTGGTTTCTCCCCTCCCTGCCCCTCGCCGCCTTTCTCCGCTCCCCACCTCCCCCCTCTCCCTGCCCCCCCACTCTCCTCCACTTGCCCTTGGCTTCCCACCTCCCTGCCCCACCTTTCCCCCCTCCGTGTGCTCAGCTTCTCCCCTCCCTGCCTCTCCCTCCTCCCCGCCCTGCCCCTCATTTTCCGCCCCCCCACGCCCGGTTTCTCCCCTCCCTGCACCTCCCTTTCTTTCTCCGTGCCTCTCCTTTGCTCCCTCCCTGCCCCCGCCTGCCCATGCCCCTGTCTTTGGTTTCTCCCCTCCCTGCCCCACGTTTCTTCCCTCCCTGAGATCACCTTGTACCCCCTCTGCCCCTCCCTTGTTCTCCCCGCACCCATTGCTTCTCCCCTCCCTGCCCTTGATTTCCCGCACCCCTGCCCTTGTTTCCTACCATCCATGCCCCTCGTTTCCCCTCTTTGTACGTTCACCCTCTTCCCTCCCTGCCCCTCCCTTCCTCCCCCCCTGCCCTTTGCTTTCCCCTCGTTACGCTCCCTTCTCCCCATCCCTGCTGCCCTCTTACCACCATCAGCCCGTCCCCACCACCAGCCCCCCTCCCACCCTTCTCCCCCCCCCCTCCCTCTCTCTCTCTCTCTCTATCTCTCCTCTCTCTCTCTCTCTCTCTTTCTCTCGCACACACACACACACACACACTCCCCTCCCCCACCCCCCACCCACATCCTCCCGTTCTGCCCCTCCCTGCCCCTGTTCCACCCCCTCGCACGCCCCTCACCTCTCACCTCCGTTCAACTGGATTCCCCCCCTCTGGTGCATCCCTTGCATCGCTCGCCCCTCTGCTCACCCTCTGCCCGCCCCTTTTCCTTGCCCTCAGCTGGCCCAGCCCCTGCCCGTTGCTGCCCCTCCCCTTGCCCCCTCAACTCCCCTGCCCCCCGTACACCCCACTCCCGTCCAACCGCCCCCACCCTCCCCCGGCTGCCCGTTTCCGCTCTCCACCCCCGCGACCGTGTGCGGCTTCCAACCGCCCAACGGTGGTGCGCACGGGGCGTTTCTTCGCGCGGGCAAGCCTCCCCGGGGGCCCCCCACCCCGCTGACTCGTTGTTCGGGCAAAAAAAACGGAAATAAAAAAGTCGGACGCGCTAAAATCGTCCTTTGTTTTTCCCGCTTGCCCCTCCCCGGCACGTGCCGAGCAAGGGGCATAAATGGGTACAACACGAGGACTTCCCGGGAGGTCACCCAGCCCAGTACTGCTCTCGCCCACCGGCGCTTAGCTTCGGAGTTCTGATGGGATCCGGCGTAGTAGCCGAGGTATGATCGTACCACGACAATCCCGTGCCCCGACCGGTACACACCCCTTGCCCGGGTCCCCCCTTCATAGTCACACCCCCTGCCCCCTCATGCCATCCGCTCCCCCCGCCCCTACCCTCCGCGTGCCCGCTCCCTCGCCGCCTCTTTTGACCCTCCCTGCCCCCCTCGCCGTTACCCACCGCTCGCCATTCGCTCCTCCCCGCCCGTGCCCTCCCCTCGTTTACCTTCGCCTCCCCCCTCCCCTCCTCTGCTGCACGCCTCTTCCTTCCCCTCGCTAACCCACTCCACTCCCTGCCCCTCCTCAATCCGCACCCTGCCCCTCGTTTCTCGCCCCCCTACGCTTGGTTTCTCCCCTCCCTGCCCCTCGCCGCCTTTCTCCGCTCCCCACCTCCCCCCTCTCCCTGCCCCCCCACTCTCCTCCACTTGCCCTTGGCTTCCCACCTCCCTGCCCCACCTTTCCCCCCTCCGTGTGCTCAGCTTCTCCCCTCCCTGCCTCTCCCTCCTCCCCGCCCTGCCCCTCATTTTCCGCCCCCCCACGCCCGGTTTCTCCCCTCCCTGCACCTCCCTTTCTTTCTCCGTGCCTCTCCTTTGCTCCCTCCCTGCCCCCGCCTGCCCATGCCCCTGTCTTTGGTTTCTCCCCTCCCTGCCCCACGTTTCTTCCCTCCCTGAGATCACCTTGTACCCCCTCTGCCCCTCCCTTGTTCTCCCCGCACCCATTGCTTCTCCCCTCCCTGCCCTTGATTTCCCGCACCCCTGCCCTTGTTTCCTACCATCCATGCCCCTCGTTTCCCCTCTTTGTACGTTCACCCTCTTCCCTCCCTGCCCCTCCCTTCCTCCCCCCCTGCCCTTTGCTTTCCCCTCGTTACGCTCCCTTCTCCCCATCCCTGCTGCCCTCTTACCACCATCAGCCCGTCCCCACCACCAGCCCCCCTCCCACCCTTCTCCCCCCCCCCCTCTCCCTCTCTCTCTCTCTCTCTCTCTCTTTCTCTCGCACACACACACACACACACACTCCCCTCCCCCACCCCCCACCCACATCCTCCCGTTCTGCCCCTCCCTGCCCCTGTTCCACCCCCTCGCACGCCCCTCACCTCTCACCTCCGTTCAACTGGATTCCCCCCCTCTGGTGCATCCCTTGCATCGCTCGCCCCTCTGCTCACCCTCTGCCCGCCCCTTTTCCTTGCCCTCAGCTGGCCCAGCCCCTGCCCGTTGCTGCCCCTCCCCTTGCCCCCTCAACTCCCCTGCCCCCCGTACACCCCACTCCCGTCCAACCGCCCCCACCCTCCCCCGGCTGCCCGTTTCCGCTCTCCACCCCCGCGACCGTGTGCGGCTTCCAACCGCCCAACGGTGGTGCGCACGGGGCGTTTCTTCGCGCGGGCAAGCCTCCCCGGGGGCCCCCCACCCCGCTGACTCGTTGTTCGGGCAAAAAAAACGGAAATAAAAAAGTCGGACGCGCTAAAATCGTCCTTTGTTTTTCCCGCTTGCCCCTCCCCGGCACGTGCCGAGCAAGGGGCATAAATGGGTACAACACGAGGACTTCCCGGGAGGTCACCCAGCCCAGTACTGCTCTCGCCCACCGGCGCTTAGCTTCGGAGTTCTGATGGGATCCGGCGTAGTAGCCGAGGTATGATCGTACCACGACAATCCCGTGCCCCGACCGGTACACACCCCTTGCCCGGGTCCCCCCTTCATAGTCACACCCCCTGCCCCCTCATGCCATCCGCTCCCCCCGCCCCTACCCTCCGCGTGCCCGCTCCCTCGCCGCCTCTTTTGACCCTCCCTGCCCCCCTCGCCGTTACCCACCGCTCGCCATTCGCTCCTCCCCGCCCGTGCCCTCCCCTCGTTTACCTTCGCCTCCCCCCTCCCCTCCTCTGCTGCACGCCTCTTCCTTCCCCTCGCTAACCCACTCCACTCCCTGCCCCTCCTCAATCCGCACCCTGCCCCTCGTTTCTCGCCCCCCTACGCTTGGTTTCTCCCCTCCCTGCCCCTCGCCGCCTTTCTCCGCTCCCCACCTCCCCCCTCTCCCTGCCCCCCCACTCTCCTCCACTTGCCCTTGGCTTCCCACCTCCCTGCCCCACCTTTCCCCCCTCCGTGTGCTCAGCTTCTCCCCTCCCTGCCTCTCCCTCCTCCCCGCCCTGCCCCTCATTTTCCGCCCCCCCACGCCCGGTTTCTCCCCTCCCTGCACCTCCCTTTCTTTCTCCGTGCCTCTCCTTTGCTCCCTCCCTGCCCCCGCCTGCCCATGCCCCTGTCTTTGGTTTCTCCCCTCCCTGCCCCACGTTTCTTCCCTCCCTGAGATCACCTTGTACCCCCTCTGCCCCTCCCTTGTTCTCCCCGCACCCATTGCTTCTCCCCTCCCTGCCCTTGATTTCCCGCACCCCTGCCCTTGTTTCCTACCATCCATGCCCCTCGTTTCCCCTCTTTGTACGTTCACCCTCTTCCCTCCCTGCCCCTCCCTTCCTCCCCCCCTGCCCTTTGCTTTCCCCTCGTTACGCTCCCTTCTCCCCATCCCTGCTGCCCTCTTACCACCATCAGCCCGTCCCCACCACCAGCCCCCCTCCCACCCTTCTCCCCCCCCCCCTCTCCCTCTCTCTCTCTCTCTCTCTCTCTTTCTCTCGCACACACACACACACACACACTCCCCTCCCCCACCCCCCACCCACATCCTCCCGTTCTGCCCCTCCCTGCCCCTGTTCCACCCCCTCGCACGCCCCTCACCTCTCACCTCCGTTCAACTGGATTCCCCCCCTCTGGTGCATCCCTTGCATCGCTCGCCCCTCTGCTCACCCTCTGCCCGCCCCTTTTCCTTGCCCTCAGCTGGCCCAGCCCCTGCCCGTTGCTGCCCCTCCCCTTGCCCCCTCAACTCCCCTGCCCCCCGTACACCCCACTCCCGTCCAACCGCCCCCACCCTCCCCCGGCTGCCCGTTTCCGCTCTCCACCCCCGCGACCGTGTGCGGCTTCCAACCGCCCAACGGTGGTGCGCACGGGGCGTTTCTTCGCGCGGGCAAGCCTCCCCGGGGGCCCCCCACCCCGCTGACTCGTTGTTCGGGCAAAAAAAACGGAAATAAAAAAGTCGGACGCGCTAAAATCGTCCTTTGTTTTTCCCGCTTGCCCCTCCCCGGCACGTGCCGAGCAAGGGGCATAAATGGGTACAACACGAGGACTTCCCGGGAGGTCACCCAGCCCAGTACTGCTCTCGCCCACCGGCGCTTAGCTTCGGAGTTCTGATGGGATCCGGCGTAGTAGCCGAGGTATGATCGTACCACGACAATCCCGTGCCCCGACCGGTACACACCCCTTGCCCGGGTCCCCCCTTCATAGTCACACCCCCTGCCCCCTCATGCCATCCGCTCCCCCCGCCCCTACCCTCCGCGTGCCCGCTCCCTCGCCGCCTCTTTTGACCCTCCCTGCCCCCCTCGCCGTTACCCACCGCTCGCCATTCGCTCCTCCCCGCCCGTGCCCTCCCCTCGTTTACCTTCGCCTCCCCCCTCCCCTCCTCTGCTGCACGCCTCTTCCTTCCCCTCGCTAACCCACTCCACTCCCTGCCCCTCCTCAATCCGCACCCTGCCCCTCGTTTCTCGCCCCCCTACGCTTGGTTTCTCCCCTCCCTGCCCCTCGCCGCCTTTCTCCGCTCCCCACCTCCCCCCTCTCCCTGCCCCCCCACTCTCCTCCACTTGCCCTTGGCTTCCCACCTCCCTGCCCCACCTTTCCCCCCTCCGTGTGCTCAGCTTCTCCCCTCCCTGCCTCTCCCTCCTCCCCGCCCTGCCCCTCATTTTCCGCCCCCCCACGCCCGGTTTCTCCCCTCCCTGCACCTCCCTTTCTTTCTCCGTGCCTCTCCTTTGCTCCCTCCCTGCCCCCGCCTGCCCATGCCCCTGTCTTTGGTTTCTCCCCTCCCTGCCCCACGTTTCTTCCCTCCCTGAGATCACCTTGTACCCCCTCTGCCCCTCCCTTGTTCTCCCCGCACCCATTGCTTCTCCCCTCCCTGCCCTTGATTTCCCGCACCCCTGCCCTTGTTTCCTACCATCCATGCCCCTCGTTTCCCCTCTTTGTACGTTCACCCTCTTCCCTCCCTGCCCCTCCCTTCCTCCCCCCCTGCCCTTTGCTTTCCCCTCGTTACGCTCCCTTCTCCCCATCCCTGCTGCCCTCTTACCACCATCAGCCCGTCCCCACCACCAGCCCCCCTCCCACCCTTCTCCCCCCCCCCCCCTCTCTCTCTCTCTCTATCTCTCTCCTCTCTCTCTCTCTCTCTCTTTCTCTCGCACACACACACACACACACACTCCCCTCCCCCACCCCCCACCCACATCCTCCCGTTCTGCCCCTCCCTGCCCCTGTTCCACCCCCTCGCACGCCCCTCACCTCTCACCTCCGTTCAACTGGATTCCCCCCCTCTGGTGCATCCCTTGCATCGCTCGCCCCTCTGCTCACCCTCTGCCCGCCCCTTTTCCTTGCCCTCAGCTGGCCCAGCCCCTGCCCGTTGCTGCCCCTCCCCTTGCCCCCTCAACTCCCCTGCCCCCCGTACACCCCACTCCCGTCCAACCGCCCCCACCCTCCCCCGGCTGCCCGTTTCCGCTCTCCACCCCCGCGACCGTGTGCGGCTTCCAACCGCCCAACGGTGGTGCGCACGGGGCGTTTCTTCGCGCGGGCAAGCCTCCCCGGGGGCCCCCCACCCCGCTGACTCGTTGTTCGGGCAAAAAAACGGAAATAAAAAAGTCGGACGCGCTAAAATCGTCCTTTGTTTTTCCCGCTTGCCCCTCCCCGGCACGTGCCGAGCAAGGGGCATAAATGGGTACAACACGAGGACTTCCCGGGAGGTCACCCAGCCCAGTACTGCTCTCGCCCACCGGCGCTTAGCTTCGGAGTTCTGATGGGATCCGGCGTAGTAGCCGAGGTATGATCGTACCACGACAATCCCGTGCCCCGACCGGTACACACCCCTTGCCCGGGTCCCCCCTTCATAGTCACACCCCCTGCCCCCTCATGCCATCCGCTCCCCCCGCCCCTACCCTCCGCGTGCCCGCTCCCTCGCCGCCTCTTTTGACCCTCCCTGCCCCCCTCGCCGTTACCCACCGCTCGCCATTCGCTCCTCCCCGCCCGTGCCCTCCCCTCGTTTACCTTCGCCTCCCCCCTCCCCTCCTCTGCTGCACGCCTCTTCCTTCCCCTCGCTAACCCACTCCACTCCCTGCCCCTCCTCAATCCGCACCCTGCCCCTCGTTTCTCGCCCCCCTACGCTTGGTTTCTCCCCTCCCTGCCCCTCGCCGCCTTTCTCCGCTCCCCACCTCCCCCCTCTCCCTGCCCCCCCACTCTCCTCCACTTGCCCTTGGCTTCCCACCTCCCTGCCCCACCTTTCCCCCCTCCGTGTGCTCAGCTTCTCCCCTCCCTGCCTCTCCCTCCTCCCCGCCCTGCCCCTCATTTTCCGCCCCCCCACGCCCGGTTTCTCCCCTCCCTGCACCTCCCTTTCTTTCTCCGTGCCTCTCCTTTGCTCCCTCCCTGCCCCCGCCTGCCCATGCCCCTGTCTTTGGTTTCTCCCCTCCCTGCCCCACGTTTCTTCCCTCCCTGAGATCACCTTGTACCCCCTCTGCCCCTCCCTTGTTCTCCCCGCACCCATTGCTTCTCCCCTCCCTGCCCTTGATTTCCCGCACCCCTGCCCTTGTTTCCTACCATCCATGCCCCTCGTTTCCCCTCTTTGTACGTTCACCCTCTTCCCTCCCTGCCCCTCCCTTCCTCCCCCCCTGCCCTTTGCTTTCCCCTCGTTACGCTCCCTTCTCCCCATCCCTGCTGCCCTCTTACCACCATCAGCCCGTCCCCACCACCAGCCCCCCTCCCACCCTTCTCCCCCCCCCCCTCTCCCTCTCTCTCTCTCTCTCTCTCTCTTTCTCTCGCACACACACACACACACACACTCCCCTCCCCCACCCCCCACCCACATCCTCCCGTTCTGCCCCTCCCTGCCCCTGTTCCACCCCCTCGCACGCCCCTCACCTCTCACCTCCGTTCAACTGGATTCCCCCCCTCTGGTGCATCCCTTGCATCGCTCGCCCCTCTGCTCACCCTCTGCCCGCCCCTTTTCCTTGCCCTCAGCTGGCCCAGCCCCTGCCCGTTGCTGCCCCTCCCCTTGCCCCCTCAACTCCCCTGCCCCCCGTACACCCCACTCCCGTCCAACCGCCCCCACCCTCCCCCGGCTGCCCGTTTCCGCTCTCCACCCCCGCGACCGTGTGCGGCTTCCAACCGCCCAACGGTGGTGCGCACGGGGCGTTTCTTCGCGCGGGCAAGCCTCCCCGGGGGCCCCCCACCCCGCTGACTCGTTGTTCGGGCAAAAAAAACGGAAATAAAAAAGTCGGACGCGCTAAAATCGTCCTTTGTTTTTCCCGCTTGCCCCTCCCCGGCACGTGCCGAGCAAGGGGCATAAATGGGTACAACACGAGGACTTCCCGGGAGGTCACCCAGCCCAGTACTGCTCTCGCCCACCGGCGCTTAGCTTCGGAGTTCTGATGGGATCCGGCGTAGTAGCCGAGGTATGATCGTACCACGACAATCCCGTGCCCCGACCGGTACACACCCCTTGCCCGGGTCCCCCCTTCATAGTCACACCCCCTGCCCCCTCATGCCATCCGCTCCCCCCGCCCCTACCCTCCGCGTGCCCGCTCCCTCGCCGCCTCTTTTGACCCTCCCTGCCCCCCTCGCCGTTACCCACCGCTCGCCATTCGCTCCTCCCCGCCCGTGCCCTCCCCTCGTTTACCTTCGCCTCCCCCCTCCCCTCCTCTGCTGCACGCCTCTTCCTTCCCCTCGCTAACCCACTCCACTCCCTGCCCCTCCTCAATCCGCACCCTGCCCCTCGTTTCTCGCCCCCCTATGCTTGGTTTCTCCCCCCCTGCCCTTTGCTTTCCCCTCGTTACGCTCCCTTCTCCCCATCCCTGCTGCCCTCTTACCACCATCAGCCCGTCCCCACCACCAGCCCCCCTCCCACCCTTCTCCCCCCCCCCCTCTCCCTCTCTCTCTCTCTCTCTCTATCTCTCTCACTCTCTCTCTCTCTCTCTCTCTTTCTCTCGCACACACACACACACACACACTCCCCTCCCCCACCCCCCACCCACATCCTCCCGTTCTGCCCCTCCCTGCCCCTGTTCCACCCCCTCGCACGCCCCTCACCTCTCACCTCCGTTCAACTGGATTCCCCCCCTCTGGTGCATCCCTTGCATCGCTCGCCCCTCTGCTCACCCTCTGCCCGCCCCTTTTCCTTGCCCTCAGCTGGCCCAGCCCCTGCCCGTTGCTGCCCCTCCCCTTGCCCCCTCAACTCCCCTGCCCCCCGTACACCCCACTCCCGTCCAACCGCCCCCACCCTCCCCCGGCTGCCCGTTTCCGCTCTCCACCCCCGCGACCGTGTGCGGCTTCCAACCGCCCAACGGTGGTGCGCACGGGGCGTTTCTTCGCGCGGGCAAGCCTCCCCGGGGGCCCCCCACCCCGCTGACTCGTTGTTCGGGCAAAAAAAACGGAAATAAAAAAGTCGGACGCGCTAAAATCGTCCTTTGTTTTTCCCGCTTGCCCCTCCCCGGCACGTGCCGAGCAAGGGGCATAAATGGGTACAACACGAGGACTTCCCGGGAGGTCACCCAGCCCAGTACTGCTCTCGCCCACCGGCGCTTAGCTTCGGAGTTCTGATGGGATCCGGCGTAGTAGCCGAGGTATGATCGTACCACGACAATCCCGTGCCCCGACCGGTACACACCCCTTGCCCGGGTCCCCCCTTCATAGTCACACCCCCTGCCCCCTCATGCCATCCGCTCCCCCCGCCCCTACCCTCCGCGTGCCCGCTCCCTCGCCGCCTCTTTTGACCCTCCCTGCCCCCCTCGCCGTTACCCACCGCTCGCCATTCGCTCCTCCCCGCCCGTGCCCTCCCCTCGTTTACCTTCGCCTCCCCCCTCCCCTCCTCTGCTGCACGCCTCTTCCTTCCCCTCGCTAACCCACTCCACTCCCTGCCCCTCCTCAATCCGCACCCTGCCCCTCGTTTCTCGCCCCCCTACGCTTGGTTTCTCCCCTCCCTGCCCCTCGCCGCCTTTCTCCGCTCCCCACCTCCCCCCTCTCCCTGCCCCCCCACTCTCCTCCACTTGCCCTTGGCTTCCCACCTCCCTGCCCCACCTTTCCCCCCTCCGTGTGCTCAGCTTCTCCCCTCCCTGCCTCTCCCTCCTCCCCGCCCTGCCCCTCATTTTCCGCCCCCCCACGCCCGGTTTCTCCCCTCCCTGCACCTCCCTTTCTTTCTCCGTGCCTCTCCTTTGCTCCCTCCCTGCCCCCGCCTGCCCATGCCCCTGTCTTTGGTTTCTCCCCTCCCTGCCCCACGTTTCTTCCCTCCCTGAGATCACCTTGTACCCCCTCTGCCCCTCCCTTGTTCTCCCCGCACCCATTGCTTCTCCCCTCCCTGCCCTTGATTTCCCGCACCCCTGCCCTTGTTTCCTACCATCCATGCCCCTCGTTTCCCCTCTTTGTACGTTCACCCTCTTCCCTCCCTGCCCCTCCCTTCCTCCCCCCCTGCCCTTTGCTTTCCCCTCGTTACGCTCCCTTCTCCCCATCCCTGCTGCCCTCTTACCACCATCAGCCCGTCCCCACCACCAGCCCCCCTCCCACCCTTCTCCCCCCCCCCCTCTCCCTCTCTCTCTCTCTCTCTCTCTCTTTCTCTCGCACACACACACACACACACACTCCCCTCCCCCACCCCCCACCCACATCCTCCCGTTCTGCCCCTCCCTGCCCCTGTTCCACCCCCTCGCACGCCCCTCACCTCTCACCTCCGTTCAACTGGATTCCCCCCCTCTGGTGCATCCCTTGCATCGCTCGCCCCTCTGCTCACCCTCTGCCCGCCCCTTTTCCTTGCCCTCAGCTGGCCCAGCCCCTGCCCGTTGCTGCCCCTCCCCTTGCCCCCTCAACTCCCCTGCCCCCCGTACACCCCACTCCCGTCCAACCGCCCCCACCCTCCCCCGGCTGCCCGTTTCCGCTCTCCACCCCCGCGACCGTGTGCGGCTTCCAACCGCCCAACGGTGGTGCGCACGGGGCGTTTCTTCGCGCGGGCAAGCCTCCCCGGGGGCCCCCCACCCCGCTGACTCGTTGTTCGGGCAAAAAAAACGGAAATAAAAAAGTCGGACGCGCTAAAATCGTCCTTTGTTTTTCCCGCTTGCCCCTCCCCGGCACGTGCCGAGCAAGGGGCATAAATGGGTACAACACGAGGACTTCCCGGGAGGTCACCCAGCCCAGTACTGCTCTCGCCCACCGGCGCTTAGCTTCGGAGTTCTGATGGGATCCGGCGTAGTAGCCGAGGTATGATCGTACCACGACAATCCCGTGCCCCGACCGGTACACACCCCTTGCCCGGGTCCCCCCTTCATAGTCACACCCCCTGCCCCCTCATGCCATCCGCTCCCCCCGCCCCTACCCTCCGCGTGCCCGCTCCCTCGCCGCCTCTTTTGACCCTCCCTGCCCCCCTCGCCGTTACCCACCGCTCGCCATTCGCTCCTCCCCGCCCGTGCCCTCCCCTCGTTTACCTTCGCCTCCCCCCTCCCCTCCTCTGCTGCACGCCTCTTCCTTCCCCTCGCTAACCCACTCCACTCCCTGCCCCTCCTCAATCCGCACCCTGCCCCTCGTTTCTCGCCCCCCTACGCTTGGTTTCTCCCCTCCCTGCCCCTCGCCGCCTTTCTCCGCTCCCCACCTCCCCCCTCTCCCTGCCCCCCCACTCTCCTCCACTTGCCCTTGGCTTCCCACCTCCCTGCCCCACCTTTCCCCCCTCCGTGTGCTCAGCTTCTCCCCTCCCTGCCTCTCCCTCCTCCCCGCCCTGCCCCTCATTTTCCGCCCCCCCACGCCCGGTTTCTCCCCTCCCTGCACCTCCCTTTCTTTCTCCGTGCCTCTCCTTTGCTCCCTCCCTGCCCCCGCCTGCCCATGCCCCTGTCTTTGGTTTCTCCCCTCCCTGCCCCACGTTTCTTCCCTCCCTGAGATCACCTTGTACCCCCTCTGCCCCTCCCTTGTTCTCCCCGCACCCATTGCTTCTCCCCTCCCTGCCCTTGATTTCCCGCACCCCTGCCCTTGTTTCCTACCATCCATGCCCCTCGTTTCCCCTCTTTGTACGTTCACCCTCTTCCCTCCCTGCCCCTCCCTTCCTCCCCCCCTGCCCTTTGCTTTCCCCTCGTTACGCTCCCTTCTCCCCATCCCTGCTGCCCTCTTACCACCATCAGCCCGTCCCCACCACCAGCCCCCCTCCCACCCTTCTCCCCCCCCCCCTCTCCCTCTCTCTCTCTCTCTCTCTCTCTTTCTCTCGCACACACACACACACACACACTCCCCTCCCCCACCCCCCACCCACATCCTCCCGTTCTGCCCCTCCCTGCCCCTGTTCCACCCCCTCGCACGCCCCTCACCTCTCACCTCCGTTCAACTGGATTCCCCCCCTCTGGTGCATCCCTTGCATCGCTCGCCCCTCTGCTCACCCTCTGCCCGCCCCTTTTCCTTGCCCTCAGCTGGCCCAGCCCCTGCCCGTTGCTGCCCCTCCCCTTGCCCCCTCAACTCCCCTGCCCCCCGTACACCCCACTCCCGTCCAACCGCCCCCACCCTCCCCCGGCTGCCCGTTTCCGCTCTCCACCCCCGCGACCGTGTGCGGCTTCCAACCGCCCAACGGTGGTGCGCACGGGGCGTTTCTTCGCGCGGGCAAGCCTCCCCGGGGGCCCCCCACCCCGCTGACTCGTTGTTCGGGCAAAAAAAACGGAAATAAAAAAGTCGGACGCGCTAAAATCGTCCTTTGTTTTTCCCGCTTGCCCCTCCCCGGCACGTGCCGAGCAAGGGGCATAAATGGGTACAACACGAGGACTTCCCGGGAGGTCACCCAGCCCAGTACTGCTCTCGCCCACCGGCGCTTAGCTTCGGAGTTCTGATGGGATCCGGCGTAGTAGCCGAGGTATGATCGTACCACGACAATCCCGTGCCCCGACCGGTACACACCCCTTGCCCGGGTCCCCCCTTCATAGTCACACCCCCTGCCCCCTCATGCCATCCGCTCCCCCCGCCCCTACCCTCCGCGTGCCCGCTCCCTCGCCGCCTCTTTTGACCCTCCCTGCCCCCCTCGCCGTTACCCACCGCTCGCCATTCGCTCCTCCCCGCCCGTGCCCTCCCCTCGTTTACCTTCGCCTCCCCCCTCCCCTCCTCTGCTGCACGCCTCTTCCTTCCCCTCGCTAACCCACTCCACTCCCTGCCCCTCCTCAATCCGCACCCTGCCCCTCGTTTCTCGCCCCCCTACGCTTGGTTTCTCCCCTCCCTGCCCCTCGCCGCCTTTCTCCGCTCCCCACCTCCCCCCTCTCCCTGCCCCCCCACTCTCCTCCACTTGCCCTTGGCTTCCCACCTCCCTGCCCCACCTTTCCCCCCTCCGTGTGCTCAGCTTCTCCCCTCCCTGCCTCTCCCTCCTCCCCGCCCTGCCCCTCATTTTCCGCCCCCCCACGCCCGGTTTCTCCCCTCCCTGCACCTCCCTTTCTTTCTCCGTGCCTCTCCTTTGCTCCCTCCCTGCCCCCGCCTGCCCATGCCCCTGTCTTTGGTTTCTCCCCTCCCTGCCCCACGTTTCTTCCCTCCCTGAGATCACCTTGTACCCCCTCTGCCCCTCCCTTGTTCTCCCCGCACCCATTGCTTCTCCCCTCCCTGCCCTTGATTTCCCGCACCCCTGCCCTTGTTTCCTACCATCCATGCCCCTCGTTTCCCCTCTTTGTACGTTCACCCTCTTCCCTCCCTGCCCCTCCCTTCCTCCCCCCCTGCCCTTTGCTTTCCCCTCGTTACGCTCCCTTCTCCCCATCCCTGCTGCCCTCTTACCACCATCAGCCCGTCCCCACCACCAGCCCCCCTCCCACCCTTCTCCCCCCCCCCCTCTCCCTCTCTCTCTCTCTCTCTCTCTCTCTTTCTCTCGCACACACACACACACACACACTCCCCTCCCCCACCCCCCACCCACATCCTCCCGTTCTGCCCCTCCCTGCCCCTGTTCCACCCCCTCGCACGCCCCTCACCTCTCACCTCCGTTCAACTGGATTCCCCCCCTCTGGTGCATCCCTTGCATCGCTCGCCCCTCTGCTCACCCTCTGCCCGCCCCTTTTCCTTGCCCTCAGCTGGCCCAGCCCCTGCCCGTTGCTGCCCCTCCCCTTGCCCCCTCAACTCCCCTGCCCCCCGTACACCCCACTCCCGTCCAACCGCCCCCACCCTCCCCCGGCTGCCCGTTTCCGCTCTCCACCCCCGCGACCGTGTGCGGCTTCCAACCGCCCAACGGTGGTGCGCACGGGGCGTTTCTTCGCGCGGGCAAGCCTCCCCGGGGGCCCCCCACCCCGCTGACTCGTTGTTCGGGCAAAAAAAACGGAAATAAAAAAGTCGGACGCGCTAAAATCGTCCTTTGTTTTTCCCGCTTGCCCCTCCCCGGCACGTGCCGAGCAAGGGGCATAAATGGGTACAACACGAGGACTTCCCGGGAGGTCACCCAGCCCAGTACTGCTCTCGCCCACCGGCGCTTAGCTTCGGAGTTCTGATGGGATCCGGCGTAGTAGCCGAGGTATGATCGTACCACGACAATCCCGTGCCCCGACCGGTACACACCCCTTGCCCGGGTCCCCCCTTCATAGTCACACCCCCTGCCCCCTCATGCCATCCGCTCCCCCCGCCCCTACCCTCCGCGTGCCCGCTCCCTCGCCGCCTCTTTTGACCCTCCCTGCCCCCCTCGCCGTTACCCACCGCTCGCCATTCGCTCCTCCCCGCCCGTGCCCTCCCCTCGTTTACCTTCGCCTCCCCCCTCCCCTCCTCTGCTGCACGCCTCTTCCTTCCCCTCGCTAACCCACTCCACTCCCTGCCCCTCCTCAATCCGCACCCTGCCCCTCGTTTCTCGCCCCCCTACGCTTGGTTTCTCCCCTCCCTGCCCCTCGCCGCCTTTCTCCGCTCCCCACCTCCCCCCTCTCCCTGCCCCCCCACTCTCCTCCACTTGCCCTTGGCTTCCCACCTCCCTGCCCCACCTTTCCCCCCTCCGTGTGCTCAGCTTCTCCCCTCCCTGCCTCTCCCTCCTCCCCGCCCTGCCCCTCATTTTCCGCCCCCCCACGCCCGGTTTCTCCCCTCCCTGCACCTCCCTTTCTTTCTCCGTGCCTCTCCTTTGCTCCCTCCCTGCCCCCGCCTGCCCATGCCCCTGTCTTTGGTTTCTCCCCTCCCTGCCCCACGTTTCTTCCCTCCCTGAGATCACCTTGTACCCCCTCTGCCCCTCCCTTGTTCTCCCCGCACCCATTGCTTCTCCCCTCCCTGCCCTTGATTTCCCGCACCCCTGCCCTTGTTTCCTACCATCCATGCCCCTCGTTTCCCCTCTTTGTACGTTCACCCTCTTCCCTCCCTGCCCCTCCCTTCCTCCCCCCCTGCCCTTTGCTTTCCCCTCGTTACGCTCCCTTCTCCCCATCCCTGCTGCCCTCTTACCACCATCAGCCCGTCCCCACCACCAGCCCCCCTCCCACCCTTCTCCCCCCCCCCCTCTCCCTCTCTCTCTCTCTCTCTCTCTCTTTCTCTCGCACACACACACACACACACACTCCCCTCCCCCACCCCCCACCCACATCCTCCCGTTCTGCCCCTCCCTGCCCCTGTTCCACCCCCTCGCACGCCCCTCACCTCTCACCTCCGTTCAACTGGATTCCCCCCCTCTGGTGCATCCCTTGCATCGCTCGCCCCTCTGCTCACCCTCTGCCCGCCCCTTTTCCTTGCCCTCAGCTGGCCCAGCCCCTGCCCGTTGCTGCCCCTCCCCTTGCCCCCTCAACTCCCCTGCCCCCCGTACACCCCACTCCCGTCCAACCGCCCCCACCCTCCCCCGGCTGCCCGTTTCCGCTCTCCACCCCCGCGACCGTGTGCGGCTTCCAACCGCCCAACGGTGGTGCGCACGGGGCGTTTCTTCGCGCGGGCAAGCCTCCCCGGGGGCCCCCCACCCCGCTGACTCGTTGTTCGGGCAAAAAAACGGAAATAAAAAAGTCGGACGCGCTAAAATCGTCCTTTGTTTTTCCCGCTTGCCCCTCCCCGGCACGTGCCGAGCAAGGGGCATAAATGGGTACAACACGAGGACTTCCCGGGAGGTCACCCAGCCCAGTACTGCTCTCGCCCACCGGCGCTTAGCTTCGGAGTTCTGATGGGATCCGGCGTAGTAGCCGAGGTATGATCGTACCACGACAATCCCGTGCCCCGACCGGTACACACCCCTTGCCCGGGTCCCCCCTTCATAGTCACACCCCCTGCCCCCTCATGCCATCCGCTCCCCCCGCCCCTACCCTCCGCGTGCCCGCTCCCTCGCCGCCTCTTTTGACCCTCCCTGCCCCCCTCGCCGTTACCCACCGCTCGCCATTCGCTCCTCCCCGCCCGTGCCCTCCCCTCGTTTACCTTCGCCTCCCCCCTCCCCTCCTCTGCTGCACGCCTCTTCCTTCCCCTCGCTAACCCACTCCACTCCCTGCCCCTCCTCAATCCGCACCCTGCCCCTCGTTTCTCGCCCCCCTATGCTTGGTTTCTCCCCCCCTGCCCTTTGCTTTCCCCTCGTTACGCTCCCTTCTCCCCATCCCTGCTGCCCTCTTACCACCATCAGCCCGTCCCCACCACCAGCCCCCCTCCCACCCTTCTCCCCCCCCCCTCTCCCTCTCTCTCTCTCTCTCTATCTCTCTCACTCTCTCTCTCTCTCTCTCTCTTCTCTCGCACACACACACACACACACACTCCCCTCCCCCACCCCCCACCCACATCCTCCCGTTCTGCCCCTCCCTGCCCCTGTTCCACCCCCTCGCACGCCCCTCACCTCTCACCTCCGTTCAACTGGATTCCCCCCCTCTGGTGCATCCCTTGCATCGCTCGCCCCTCTGCTCACCCTCTGCCCGCCCCTTTTCCTTGCCCTCAGCTGGCCCAGCCCCTGCCCGTTGCTGCCCCTCCCCTTGCCCCCTCAACTCCCCTGCCCCCCGTACACCCCACTCCCGTCCAACCGCCCCCACCCTCCCCCGGCTGCCCGTTTCCGCTCTCCACCCCCGCGACCGTGTGCGGCTTCCAACCGCCCAACGGTGGTGCGCACGGGGCGTTTCTTCGCGCGGGCAAGCCTCCCCGGGGGCCCCCCACCCCGCTGACTCGTTGTTCGGGCAAAAAAAACGGAAATAAAAAAGTCGGACGCGCTAAAATCGTCCTTTGTTTTTCCCGCTTGCCCCTCCCCGGCACGTGCCGAGCAAGGGGCATAAATGGGTACAACACGAGGACTTCCCGGGAGGTCACCCAGCCCAGTACTGCTCTCGCCCACCGGCGCTTAGCTTCGGAGTTCTGATGGGATCCGGCGTAGTAGCCGAGGTATGATCGTACCACGACAATCCCGTGCCCCGACCGGTACACACCCCTTGCCCGGGTCCCCCCTTCATAGTCACACCCCCTGCCCCCTCATGCCATCCGCTCCCCCCGCCCCTACCCTCCGCGTGCCCGCTCCCTCGCCGCCTCTTTTGACCCTCCCTGCCCCCCTCGCCGTTACCCACCGCTCGCCATTCGCTCCTCCCCGCCCGTGCCCTCCCCTCGTTTACCTTCGCCTCCCCCCTCCCCTCCTCTGCTGCACGCCTCTTCCTTCCCCTCGCTAACCCACTCCACTCCCTGCCCCTCCTCAATCCGCACCCTGCCCCTCGTTTCTCGCCCCCCTATGCTTGGTTTCTCCCCCCCTGCCCTTTGCTTTCCCCTCGTTACGCTCCCTTCTCCCCATCCCTGCTGCCCTCTTACCACCATCAGCCCGTCCCCACCACCAGCCCCCCTCCCACCCTTCTCCCCCCCCCCCTCTCCCTCTCTCTCTCTCTCTCTCTATCTCTCTCACTCTCTCTCTCTCTCTCTCTCTTTCTCTCGCACACACACACACACACACACTCCCCTCCCCCACCCCCCACCCACATCCTCCCGTTCTGCCCCTCCCTGCCCCTGTTCCACCCCCTCGCACGCCCCTCACCTCTCACCTCCGTTCAACTGGATTCCCCCCCTCTGGTGCATCCCTTGCATCGCTCGCCCCTCTGCTCACCCTCTGCCCGCCCCTTTTCCTTGCCCTCAGCTGGCCCAGCCCCTGCCCGTTGCTGCCCCTCCCCTTGCCCCCTCAACTCCCCTGCCCCCCGTACACCCCACTCCCGTCCAACCGCCCCCACCCTCCCCCGGCTGCCCGTTTCCGCTCTCCACCCCCGCGACCGTGTGCGGCTTCCAACCGCCCAACGGTGGTGCGCACGGGGCGTTTCTTCGCGCGGGCAAGCCTCCCCGGGGGCCCCCCACCCCGCTGACTCGTTGTTCGGGCAAAAAAAACGGAAATAAAAAAGTCGGACGCGCTAAAATCGTCCTTTGTTTTTCCCGCTTGCCCCTCCCCGGCACGTGCCGAGCAAGGGGCATAAATGGGTACAACACGAGGACTTCCCGGGAGGTCACCCAGCCCAGTACTGCTCTCGCCCACCGGCGCTTAGCTTCGGAGTTCTGATGGGATCCGGCGTAGTAGCCGAGGTATGATCGTACCACGACAATCCCGTGCCCCGACCGGTACACACCCCTTGCCCGGGTCCCCCCTTCATAGTCACACCCCCTGCCCCCTCATGCCATCCGCTCCCCCCGCCCCTACCCTCCGCGTGCCCGCTCCCTCGCCGCCTCTTTTGACCCTCCCTGCCCCCCTCGCCGTTACCCACCGCTCGCCATTCGCTCCTCCCCGCCCGTGCCCTCCCCTCGTTTACCTTCGCCTCCCCCCTCCCCTCCTCTGCTGCACGCCTCTTCCTTCCCCTCGCTAACCCACTCCACTCCCTGCCCCTCCTCAATCCGCACCCTGCCCCTCGTTTCTCGCCCCCCTACGCTTGGTTTCTCCCCTCCCTGCCCCTCGCCGCCTTTCTCCGCTCCCCACCTCCCCCCTCTCCCTGCCCCCCCACTCTCCTCCACTTGCCCTTGGCTTCCCACCTCCCTGCCCCACCTTTCCCCCCTCCGTGTGCTCAGCTTCTCCCCTCCCTGCCTCTCCCTCCTCCCCGCCCTGCCCCTCATTTTCCGCCCCCCCACGCCCGGTTTCTCCCCTCCCTGCACCTCCCTTTCTTTCTCCGTGCCTCTCCTTTGCTCCCTCCCTGCCCCCGCCTGCCCATGCCCCTGTCTTTGGTTTCTCCCCTCCCTGCCCCACGTTTCTTCCCTCCCTGAGATCACCTTGTACCCCCTCTGCCCCTCCCTTGTTCTCCCCGCACCCATTGCTTCTCCCCTCCCTGCCCTTGATTTCCCGCACCCCTGCCCTTGTTTCCTACCATCCATGCCCCTCGTTTCCCCTCTTTGTACGTTCACCCTCTTCCCTCCCTGCCCCTCCCTTCCTCCCCCCCTGCCCTTTGCTTTCCCCTCGTTACGCTCCCTTCTCCCCATCCCTGCTGCCCTCTTACCACCATCAGCCCGTCCCCACCACCAGCCCCCCTCCCACCCTTCTCCCCCCCCCCCTCTCCCTCTCTCTCTCTCTCTCTCTCTCTTTCTCTCGCACACACACACACACACACACTCCCCTCCCCCACCCCCCACCCACATCCTCCCGTTCTGCCCCTCCCTGCCCCTGTTCCACCCCCTCGCACGCCCCTCACCTCTCACCTCCGTTCAACTGGATTCCCCCCCTCTGGTGCATCCCTTGCATCGCTCGCCCCTCTGCTCACCCTCTGCCCGCCCCTTTTCCTTGCCCTCAGCTGGCCCAGCCCCTGCCCGTTGCTGCCCCTCCCCTTGCCCCCTCAACTCCCCTGCCCCCCGTACACCCCACTCCCGTCCAACCGCCCCCACCCTCCCCCGGCTGCCCGTTTCCGCTCTCCACCCCCGCGACCGTGTGCGGCTTCCAACCGCCCAACGGTGGTGCGCACGGGGCGTTTCTTCGCGCGGGCAAGCCTCCCCGGGGGCCCCCCACCCCGCTGACTCGTTGTTCGGGCAAAAAAAACGGAAATAAAAAAGTCGGACGCGCTAAAATCGTCCTTTGTTTTTCCCGCTTGCCCCTCCCCGGCACGTGCCGAGCAAGGGGCATAAATGGGTACAACACGAGGACTTCCCGGGAGGTCACCCAGCCCAGTACTGCTCTCGCCCACCGGCGCTTAGCTTCGGAGTTCTGATGGGATCCGGCGTAGTAGCCGAGGTATGATCGTACCACGACAATCCCGTGCCCCGACCGGTACACACCCCTTGCCCGGGTCCCCCCTTCATAGTCACACCCCCTGCCCCCTCATGCCATCCGCTCCCCCCGCCCCTACCCTCCGCGTGCCCGCTCCCTCGCCGCCTCTTTTGACCCTCCCTGCCCCCCTCGCCGTTACCCACCGCTCGCCATTCGCTCCTCCCCGCCCGTGCCCTCCCCTCGTTTACCTTCGCCTCCCCCCTCCCCTCCTCTGCTGCACGCCTCTTCCTTCCCCTCGCTAACCCACTCCACTCCCTGCCCCTCCTCAATCCGCACCCTGCCCCTCGTTTCTCGCCCCCCTACGCTTGGTTTCTCCCCTCCCTGCCCCTCGCCGCCTTTCTCCGCTCCCCACCTCCCCCCTCTCCCTGCCCCCCCACTCTCCTCCACTTGCCCTTGGCTTCCCACCTCCCTGCCCCACCTTTCCCCCCTCCGTGTGCTCAGCTTCTCCCCTCCCTGCCTCTCCCTCCTCCCCGCCCTGCCCCTCATTTTCCGCCCCCCCACGCCCGGTTTCTCCCCTCCCTGCACCTCCCTTTCTTTCTCCGTGCCTCTCCTTTGCTCCCTCCCTGCCCCCGCCTGCCCATGCCCCTGTCTTTGGTTTCTCCCCTCCCTGCCCCACGTTTCTTCCCTCCCTGAGATCACCTTGTACCCCCTCTGCCCCTCCCTTGTTCTCCCCGCACCCATTGCTTCTCCCCTCCCTGCCCTTGATTTCCCGCACCCCTGCCCTTGTTTCCTACCATCCATGCCCCTCGTTTCCCCTCTTTGTACGTTCACCCTCTTCCCTCCCTGCCCCTCCCTTCCTCCCCCCCTGCCCTTTGCTTTCCCCTCGTTACGCTCCCTTCTCCCCATCCCTGCTGCCCTCTTACCACCATCAGCCCGTCCCCACCACCAGCCCCCCTCCCACCCTTCTCCCCCCCCCCCTCTCCCTCTCTCTCTCTCTCTCTCTCTCTTTCTCTCGCACACACACACACACACACACTCCCCTCCCCCACCCCCCACCCACATCCTCCCGTTCTGCCCCTCCCTGCCCCTGTTCCACCCCCTCGCACGCCCCTCACCTCTCACCTCCGTTCAACTGGATTCCCCCCCTCTGGTGCATCCCTTGCATCGCTCGCCCCTCTGCTCACCCTCTGCCCGCCCCTTTTCCTTGCCCTCAGCTGGCCCAGCCCCTGCCCGTTGCTGCCCCTCCCCTTGCCCCCTCAACTCCCCTGCCCCCCGTACACCCCACTCCCGTCCAACCGCCCCCACCCTCCCCCGGCTGCCCGTTTCCGCTCTCCACCCCCGCGACCGTGTGCGGCTTCCAACCGCCCAACGGTGGTGCGCACGGGGCGTTTCTTCGCGCGGGCAAGCCTCCCCGGGGGCCCCCCACCCCGCTGACTCGTTGTTCGGGCAAAAAAAACGGAAATAAAAAAGTCGGACGCGCTAAAATCGTCCTTTGTTTTTCCCGCTTGCCCCTCCCCGGCACGTGCCGAGCAAGGGGCATAAATGGGTACAACACGAGGACTTCCCGGGAGGTCACCCAGCCCAGTACTGCTCTCGCCCACCGGCGCTTAGCTTCGGAGTTCTGATGGGATCCGGCGTAGTAGCCGAGGTATGATCGTACCACGACAATCCCGTGCCCCGACCGGTACACACCCCTTGCCCGGGTCCCCCCTTCATAGTCACACCCCCTGCCCCCTCATGCCATCCGCTCCCCCCGCCCCTACCCTCCGCGTGCCCGCTCCCTCGCCGCCTCTTTTGACCCTCCCTGCCCCCCTCGCCGTTACCCACCGCTCGCCATTCGCTCCTCCCCGCCCGTGCCCTCCCCTCGTTTACCTTCGCCTCCCCCCTCCCCTCCTCTGCTGCACGCCTCTTCCTTCCCCTCGCTAACCCACTCCACTCCCTGCCCCTCCTCAATCCGCACCCTGCCCCTCGTTTCTCGCCCCCCTACGCTTGGTTTCTCCCCTCCCTGCCCCTCGCCGCCTTTCTCCGCTCCCCACCTCCCCCCTCTCCCTGCCCCCCCACTCTCCTCCACTTGCCCTTGGCTTCCCACCTCCCTGCCCCACCTTTCCCCCCTCCGTGTGCTCAGCTTCTCCCCTCCCTGCCTCTCCCTCCTCCCCGCCCTGCCCCTCATTTTCCGCCCCCCCACGCCCGGTTTCTCCCCTCCCTGCACCTCCCTTTCTTTCTCCGTGCCTCTCCTTTGCTCCCTCCCTGCCCCCGCCTGCCCATGCCCCTGTCTTTGGTTTCTCCCCTCCCTGCCCCACGTTTCTTCCCTCCCTGAGATCACCTTGTACCCCCTCTGCCCCTCCCTTGTTCTCCCCGCACCCATTGCTTCTCCCCTCCCTGCCCTTGATTTCCCGCACCCCTGCCCTTGTTTCCTACCATCCATGCCCCTCGTTTCCCCTCTTTGTACGTTCACCCTCTTCCCTCCCTGCCCCTCCCTTCCTCCCCCCCTGCCCTTTGCTTTCCCCTCGTTACGCTCCCTTCTCCCCATCCCTGCTGCCCTCTTACCACCATCAGCCCGTCCCCACCACCAGCCCCCCTCCCACCCTTCTCCCCCCCCCCCTCTCCCTCTCTCTCTCTCTCTCTCTCTCTCTTTCTCTCGCACACACACACACACACACACTCCCCTCCCCCACCCCCCACCCACATCCTCCCGTTCTGCCCCTCCCTGCCCCTGTTCCACCCCCTCGCACGCCCCTCACCTCTCACCTCCGTTCAACTGGATTCCCCCCCTCTGGTGCATCCCTTGCATCGCTCGCCCCTCTGCTCACCCTCTGCCCGCCCCTTTTCCTTGCCCTCAGCTGGCCCAGCCCCTGCCCGTTGCTGCCCCTCCCCTTGCCCCCTCAACTCCCCTGCCCCCCGTACACCCCACTCCCGTCCAACCGCCCCCACCCTCCCCCGGCTGCCCGTTTCCGCTCTCCACCCCCGCGACCGTGTGCGGCTTCCAACCGCCCAACGGTGGTGCGCACGGGGCGTTTCTTCGCGCGGGCAAGCCTCCCCGGGGGCCCCCCACCCCGCTGACTCGTTGTTCGGGCAAAAAAAACGGAAATAAAAAAGTCGGACGCGCTAAAATCGTCCTTTGTTTTTCCCGCTTGCCCCTCCCCGGCACGTGCCGAGCAAGGGGCATAAATGGGTACAACACGAGGACTTCCCGGGAGGTCACCCAGCCCAGTACTGCTCTCGCCCACCGGCGCTTAGCTTCGGAGTTCTGATGGGATCCGGCGTAGTAGCCGAGGTATGATCGTACCACGACAATCCCGTGCCCCGACCGGTACACACCCCTTGCCCGGGTCCCCCCTTCATAGTCACACCCCCTGCCCCCTCATGCCATCCGCTCCCCCCGCCCCTACCCTCCGCGTGCCCGCTCCCTCGCCGCCTCTTTTGACCCTCCCTGCCCCCCTCGCCGTTACCCACCGCTCGCCATTCGCTCCTCCCCGCCCGTGCCCTCCCCTCGTTTACCTTCGCCTCCCCCCTCCCCTCCTCTGCTGCACGCCTCTTCCTTCCCCTCGCTAACCCACTCCACTCCCTGCCCCTCCTCAATCCGCACCCTGCCCCTCGTTTCTCGCCCCCCTATGCTTGGTTTCTCCCCCCCTGCCCTTTGCTTTCCCCTCGTTACGCTCCCTTCTCCCCATCCCTGCTGCCCTCTTACCACCATCAGCCCGTCCCCACCACCAGCCCCCCTCCCACCCTTCTCCCCCCCCCCCTCTCCCTCTCTCTCTCTCTCTCTCTATCTCTCTCACTCTCTCTCTCTCTCTCTCTCTTTCTCTCGCACACACACACACACACACACTCCCCTCCCCCACCCCCCACCCACATCCTCCCGTTCTGCCCCTCCCTGCCCCTGTTCCACCCCCTCGCACGCCCCTCACCTCTCACCTCCGTTCAACTGGATTCCCCCCCTCTGGTGCATCCCTTGCATCGCTCGCCCCTCTGCTCACCCTCTGCCCGCCCCTTTTCCTTGCCCTCAGCTGGCCCAGCCCCTGCCCGTTGCTGCCCCTCCCCTTGCCCCCTCAACTCCCCTGCCCCCCGTACACCCCACTCCCGTCCAACCGCCCCCACCCTCCCCCGGCTGCCCGTTTCCGCTCTCCACCCCCGCGACCGTGTGCGGCTTCCAACCGCCCAACGGTGGTGCGCACGGGGCGTTTCTTCGCGCGGGCAAGCCTCCCCGGGGGCCCCCCACCCCGCTGACTCGTTGTTCGGGCAAAAAAAACGGAAATAAAAAAGTCGGACGCGCTAAAATCGTCCTTTGTTTTTCCCGCTTGCCCCTCCCCGGCACGTGCCGAGCAAGGGGCATAAATGGGTACAACACGAGGACTTCCCGGGAGGTCACCCAGCCCAGTACTGCTCTCGCCCACCGGCGCTTAGCTTCGGAGTTCTGATGGGATCCGGCGTAGTAGCCGAGGTATGATCGTACCACGACAATCCCGTGCCCCGACCGGTACACACCCCTTGCCCGGGTCCCCCCTTCATAGTCACACCCCCTGCCCCCTCATGCCATCCGCTCCCCCCGCCCCTACCCTCCGCGTGCCCGCTCCCTCGCCGCCTCTTTTGACCCTCCCTGCCCCCCTCGCCGTTACCCACCGCTCGCCATTCGCTCCTCCCCGCCCGTGCCCTCCCCTCGTTTACCTTCGCCTCCCCCCTCCCCTCCTCTGCTGCACGCCTCTTCCTTCCCCTCGCTAACCCACTCCACTCCCTGCCCCTCCTCAATCCGCACCCTGCCCCTCGTTTCTCGCCCCCCTATGCTTGGTTTCTCCCCCCCTGCCCTTTGCTTTCCCCTCGTTACGCTCCCTTCTCCCCATCCCTGCTGCCCTCTTACCACCATCAGCCCGTCCCCACCACCAGCCCCCCTCCCACCCTTCTCCCCCCCCCCCTCTCCCTCTCTCTCTCTCTCTCTCTATCTCTCTCACTCTCTCTCTCTCTCTCTCTCTTTCTCTCGCACACACACACACACACACACTCCCCTCCCCCACCCCCCACCCACATCCTCCCGTTCTGCCCCTCCCTGCCCCTGTTCCACCCCCTCGCACGCCCCTCACCTCTCACCTCCGTTCAACTGGATTCCCCCCCTCTGGTGCATCCCTTGCATCGCTCGCCCCTCTGCTCACCCTCTGCCCGCCCCTTTTCCTTGCCCTCAGCTGGCCCAGCCCCTGCCCGTTGCTGCCCCTCCCCTTGCCCCCTCAACTCCCCTGCCCCCCGTACACCCCACTCCCGTCCAACCGCCCCCACCCTCCCCCGGCTGCCCGTTTCCGCTCTCCACCCCCGCGACCGTGTGCGGCTTCCAACCGCCCAACGGTGGTGCGCACGGGGCGTTTCTTCGCGCGGGCAAGCCTCCCCGGGGGCCCCCCACCCCGCTGACTCGTTGTTCGGGCAAAAAAAACGGAAATAAAAAAGTCGGACGCGCTAAAATCGTCCTTTGTTTTTCCCGCTTGCCCCTCCCCGGCACGTGCCGAGCAAGGGGCATAAATGGGTACAACACGAGGACTTCCCGGGAGGTCACCCAGCCCAGTACTGCTCTCGCCCACCGGCGCTTAGCTTCGGAGTTCTGATGGGATCCGGCGTAGTAGCCGAGGTATGATCGTACCACGACAATCCCGTGCCCCGACCGGTACACACCCCTTGCCCGGGTCCCCCCTTCATAGTCACACCCCCTGCCCCCTCATGCCATCCGCTCCCCCCGCCCCTACCCTCCGCGTGCCCGCTCCCTCGCCGCCTCTTTTGACCCTCCCTGCCCCCCTCGCCGTTACCCACCGCTCGCCATTCGCTCCTCCCCGCCCGTGCCCTCCCCTCGTTTACCTTCGCCTCCCCCCTCCCCTCCTCTGCTGCACGCCTCTTCCTTCCCCTCGCTAACCCACTCCACTCCCTGCCCTCCTCAATCCGCACCCTGCCCCTCGTTTCTCGCCCCCTACGCTTGGTTTCTCCCCTCCCTGCCCCTCGCCGCCTTTCTCCGCTCCCCACCTCCCCCCTCCCCTGCCCCCCACTCTCCTCCACTTGCCCTTGGCTTCCCACCTCCCTGCCCCACCTTTCCCCCTCCGT